ATTTAGATTAAATACAATTATTTTTACTGAGATATCAATCTCTAAATATACGATTCAATAAAATAATTATAAAAATAAAATAAACTATACTTATTGATTAATATTATCTATATAAATTTATTTTTTAGGAGAGAAAATCAATTAATACTTACATTAGAGTAGTATAAAATTATAAATTAACAAATTAGGTTTTTAAGAAAAACATAATTAATACAATTGAAATTTTAAAAAGTATTATTAAAAATAAACCTTCAAAACAATTTTATAATCAAGAACCAATATAGTAAGAAATATATCAACAAATAGAGACATGTCATATCATACATTTTTTTAAAGGATCACTCAAAATAATTTTGATTCAACATTATTCTTCCAATGTGAAAAAATTCACAATCATCCATCATAAATTATTTCCATTTTATTTTATTTTAATTTCATTTTTACACTATCTAATCCAACCTATTTAACAAATTTCTTAGTAAGCTTGTTTTTAAAAAAGGTTATCTATTATCCATTGCTAGTAGGATCGAATTGGTCAAATCTGTTTTGTAGAATAAGTTCATCCATTTTATGTCGTTTTATTCATAACCTTTGGATCTTCTTAAGGGTCTGGAGCGTGCTTCCCGCAATTTCACATGGAGTTGTTAAATTATGAAAAGATAAATTAGTTACTGTTGCTTGGAATAACATTTACATACCCTACTCGGAAGGCAGTTTGGGTCTTCACTCCTTAGTTAGCTTCAATGAAGTCTTTATTTAAAGTTTTGTTGAAATCTTATTAATTCAGATGAGTCTTGGGTTGTTCTGCTCAGGAGCCATGTTTTTTCGAAAGTCCAAAGTTATCAATCTTCACACTTTTTTCTCAATATGGACTAGCATCAAACATGAACATTCTACTATCAAAAACAAATTTTCTTGGATGCTTGGTAATGGCAACTCAATCAATTTATAGTCTGACATATGGTGCAACCCCCCTTTGAGATAAGTTATGAGAGACTTCATTATTGATGACAACCTCACTGTCAGTAAGTTGATTTTAAACCAAGATTGGAATTTTGCCGCCATTAACCCTAAAATCCCAAATTCTATCAAAGACCGCATTAGAAAGTGTCACATTCCTTATGATCTTCGTTTGGATAAGATTAGGTGGAACCTTTCTTCTTTTGGTGATCTATCTCTTAAGCAAACTTATGATTTGAAGAATGTGAAAAATTCTGAAATCAATTGGTGTTTGTTTGTTTGCTCTAGCTATTTCCCACCTTTGAAATCATTTATGGTTTGGAGGCTCATTTTGAAGAAAATCTCTACTTATGAGACCTTAAAGCAGATGGGTTTTTCTTTTCCTTCTGTTTGTAGCTTGTGTTCCTTGGAAGAAGAATATTCTCAACACCATTTCTTTGATTGCAACTGTGTTTTGATTATTTGGGATTGATTTTCTTCTATTCTAAATCGTCATCGCAAAACTCAGATTTAGACATATGTTTGGGACTGATTTCATTCCTCCAGGTCTGCTCAATGTGCAATGGTGGTGCATGTGGTTATCATTCATATTTTCAACGCAACTTGGCAGGCTAGAAACAACATCAAATTCAAGGACAAGGTCATTTCTTTAGTCATCTTTATTAACTTTATTGTTGCGGCTGCTTCGGTCTCGGGTAATAACACTAAGTTAGCTTCTCCTCTCGGCATTCAAGATTTTATCATCTTGAAATGTTTTAAGATCACTATTAGGTCTCTTAAAGTGCCAAAAATAGTTGAAGTCATTTGGAAGTCGCCCTCTTAGAGATAGATTAAAGCTAATTATGATGAAGTGTCTTTAAACAATATAGGAATTTCGGCTTGTGGAGATATTTTTAGAGATGACAAATGTTATTTTCTTGGGGCTTTTTCTCAATTTTTAGATTTTCAAACTCTCTCATTGCCGAACTTTCAGGAGCTATGTCAGCCATTGAGCTTGCCTATGAGAAAGGCTGGCTTAACTTTTTGTTGGAATCTGACTTTGTTGTAGTGGTTCAGACTTTCAAGCATCCCTATAAAGTGCCTTGACAAATTCGTAACAGATGGATCGATTGTGTCAATCGCACTACTAAAATATTTTCTTTTGTTGTTTCTCATATTTATAAAGAAGAGAATACTTGTTCAGACTCCCTTGTTAACTTAGGTCTCACATTTTTTACTATCGTCCAATTTGATTCAGTGCCATTGTGTTTAAGAGCAAATTTTGTATAAAAAAAATGCTAAATTTGTCTTTCTTTAGGTTCTTTAGACCCGTGCCCATATGTCTGATTTTTTTAATGTGCAAACGGGTAAAAATATAAATGATATTTTTTTGTGTAGTTATTTTTTTATTTTAATTTTAATTATTTATAAAATAAAAAAATTGAATGAAAGAGATGTGCAAACCGTCATATAACGATTAATAAAAGAGAAGTTGAGATTTAAAATAAAAACTGAAAAAATATAATTGAAAAAAATAGGCTGCACTTATGACTGACAATGAACCAGACCAACTCGAAAATAGTTTAGAACTCGATTCGACAATTAAATCGTTGAACTAGGTTCATGAACCAAATGAGCTGAATGTGAGCGAAAAATCATGTTCGTTAACTAAATGAGCTGAACTTCAACTATACATAACTCGATTCGTTAGGTTCATGAGTCAACTCGATTATATATGAGAATAATTATATTATTTTTAAGAGTATGTTTAAAGATTTACTCCAAAATTTAACTATATTGTCCCTTATGTACTAGTTATGGCAATAAAGCCTACAATTGCATTTAGAGTCATCCATGCCAGAGACATTATGATATTTGCTAAAAAACATGTAATGAAGGTTGCAATTGGTGTAATCATTCTGTGATGAAAACGTGTCAATTTCTAGTAACTTTTTGTGCAACCTATTTTTCAGTTTTCCTACGTACAACCTATTTATGTTTTCTATTATATTTTTCCAGTTTGCTAAATATTTGATGAAGTTATGAATTTTTGAGATAAATTTAAACTTTAATTGAGTGTTTTTTGAATTAGATTTTCAAATGTGTCTATTGAAAATTGTGTAGTTTTTGAATTAATAGATTTTTGAAATAAATTTAAATTCCATACTCATAACTTTTACTATATTTCAATATTTTCTTTTCAAAAAATATTAATTTAAAATGTACAATATATAAAAATAAAATAGAATTAAAAAATGGCTTTTAAGTTCGTGAAACAAGTAAGTTGAACATAACAAGATGAACGGAATAGTTCGTGAACTTTTAACGAGTCGAATTTGAGTTTAAAAAAAAGTTTGTGTGAAACTCAAATCGATATTTGAGTTGAATCAATTCTTAACGAATCGAACTAAACTAAGGCGAATTCAACTCGACTTGACTCATTTCTAAAAACTAAGTTTTACCATTATATAATATATATATATATATATATATATATATATATATATATATATATATATATATATATATATATATATATATATATATATATATATATATATATATATATATATATATATTAAAAAAAATTAACGTAAATAAAATATTTAATCTTTCTTTAGAAAAACTATATTGACATAACTAAACAAGAAAATCAAAAAAAACATTTAGATGAAACAACACATCTTAACTTATGAGAGAGATTATTTAAACTTAATCAAATATTTTCAAAGTCAAAAACTCTAAAAAAAGTAATAGTTTTTAAAACTGTTGACCAAAAACTTTTCCAACTATATGATTGAGTGTAACTCAAAGATTGTGATACTCATTTTAAATATAACAAAATCAGTTAAAAGGAAAAAAACTAAATTCAAAATTAAACATTTATTTATTTTTCAAAAAAAAAACTTAGGAAATTATTTTAACATTTTGACTCACTCACATACATTTTCTCACCAACCAAACCGACCATTCATTCCTAAAGCCCTTAATTAGGTTTCTTATTTTCATCAAAAAACTCTAAAAATTCTAAAAATTCAACTCTCTCTCTCTCTCTGGATTCTGCAAGAAACAAACGCAGTGAGGAAAGTTTCTCAAACAACACTTGCTTCCACGTTCTCTTCTAGTGGTCCCTTAAGCCATTAATAATTTTCACTTTCTTCCTATACAAATTCTCTCACACCATTTTCTTTCTTCTCAAGAATCATCCTTTTTCTTTTTTCTCAAAACAAGGTATGAAAAGTATCTACTTTTTTCATCATTCCCAACAAAATTCATGATCTGGGTTGTTCTTGTTTTTCCCTAAATGCAATTGGGTTTGTGGAAAAATTTGATTTTTAATTGATTTGATGGATTTTAAGAATCACCCTTGATTCATTTTTCTGTTGTATTTGATCAGTTTCGTTTTGATGTTTCCAAAGTTTTGATTTTTATTCATTTGGGGAATGGGGTTTATCTGATTTTTTTTTTCTGAATTGGAATTTGTGATATTGTTACAAAAAATTTGTATTCTTAGCCATTAGGTTTTGGTATGGATCAATGTAAGGAGATTTTTGTTTTTGGATGAATTTGGATTGATTGATCTTATGATTCCAATTTCTGAATCTTCGTTGATTAATTTAGATCATATGTTTCATGATTAATGTGATTGATTGATAATGATGATAAGTGCTTTTTTTACATCATGTGTTAACCTTACTATTTCATAATTATGACAGAAATTTTCATGACATTATATGATTATAATCTTGTTTATTGAAGTATGCTTACGTTAATTAATCTTGCTTAATTATGATTAGTTCTTGTTGCATTAATTTTTTTTCCATGTATGCTAATTTTTTTTAATAGTAACAGAATATGAATTTAATAGAGAAGAATTAGATTTAAGCAATTTTTGTTGCATTCCATTTTAAGTTTCAAATCAGAATATTGAATATATATATTTTTTGATTCTTTTGATTTTTAACTATTTGAAGTATTTAGAATCAGATTTCTTGTCGAGTTTTAGGATTGTTGTCCCTAATCGTGTTCTGCTTGTATGTGCATTTCAGTTTTTTCGTCTGATGGCCAGTGAAAGTGCTGAATTACCGGTTGCCCCGGAGGTAACTACGTCACCGGTGGTTGAAAAAAGAAGGTACTCTATGGGAAAGGCTGGCTCTGGAAAAAGCAATGAAAAAGTTGTTCCGCATTATCTCAGAGCTTCCACCAGTTCGTGTCATGATATTTGTAAATATGGGGGGAACCATTCGTTTAATCCGAAGGAAAGACGTTCGATACCTAACAGAGCCACGAGAAAACAACTTTACCAGAGTTCAGAAGCGAGCATTGGTGTGATAGTTGCTAAGCCCAAACTTTCGGTTGATTCTAAGCCAACAAAGATGTCAACGGTCGTACTCAAAGAAGCGGTCGACTCCGAGGCTTGCACGTCTGATGCTTTAGATGCCAAAAACAGGAAGAAAACATCATTTGTTGAGGACAAACCATCGCTTTTATTGAAGTCTCATACTTCTCCATCAAGAAGTCAAGAAATTTCATCATCAATGGATAAGGAGATGCAATCACAATCAAAGTCTGCGTCTAGGAAGGTTGAAACTCCATCAAAATCAACTTCGAAGACGGTGAAAACTCCTTCAAAATCAACTCCTAAGAAGGTTGAAAGTATATCGAAACCAACTTCTGATGTCAAAACGTCGTCAAAATCAATTGCTGATTTGGTGGAAGCTCTGCCAAAATCAATTCTGAAAAAGATAGGAAATTCATCAAATTCATCTGCTAGTCCGGGGGAAGCTGTGCCAAAATCTATCATCAAAAAGGTGGAAAATCCTTCAAAATCAACCTCCAAAGTCAAAATTTCATCAATTGACGGAACTTCATTGCAGTTACCTTCTTCAATTGGTACAGAAATGAAGTTGTTTACAAAGCCTTCATCATCTTTGAATTCAATTCGTGTCGCAAGAAACAAAGCATCATCCTCTATGAATTCCTTTGAAGGCGTTAGCGGTAAAACAAATAACAAGATCAAGATGGAAAAGAAAGTAGCTTCCTTCAAAGCATCTCCAAGAAAACTGATAGTACCTATTAAAGCCTTGTCATCTCCAAGAAAACTGATAGTACCTATTAAAGCCTTGTCATCTCCTAGAGCCTCCAAAAAGCACAAGAACCTGAAAATTGTGTCTCCTCTAAAGAATCAGAAGGCTGCGAAAAAACTAGAACTTGAGGAGCACGAGAATCTAAGGAATCAGGAGACTTTGAAAAAAGTCGAACTTGAGGAAAGCAAAATCCATGAGATAAAGGAGAAGACTTTGTATGTCATAGAGATGGAAACTGAAAACAAAACCTTGCAATCTAATCAAAACGCAAGCTACTTTGATGAATCGTACCTCCCTCAATTGTCAACACCCGAGTCTTCATCAACCTCAGTTACTCAATCCGTATCCGAAGAAAACCAAGAGGAATATGAATACACAACTAGTGAATACGAGCTGGACTCTTTATCAGGAAACTCTGAAATCGAATGCATTGTAAACAATGAGACTTCAATGGTCGAGAAGACAGGCAAGCTGAGGAAGGTTAAGGAAGTAGAAGACAAGGATTCCGAAATGATGAAATTAAAGTTCAGAAGAGGGAAAGTGGTTGATGATCAAAGCGAGAAAAATACTCCGAGAAAGCTTAAGTTTCGGAGAGCGAAAACATTGGCAGAGAAAGCAAATTTTAAAGAGAAAGTTGTTCTGAGACACCAAGGTTTTGAGGACAAGAAAGATGCACAAGGATTGTTTAACAATGTGATCAAGGAAACCGCGAGCAAACTTGTGGAAGCTAGGAAGAGTAAGGTTAAAGCATTGGTTGGTGCATTTGAAACTGTTATTTCTCTTCAAGAGAAATAACATTCTGCAAAACACAGTTAATTGATGGAATCAATTTGGATGAACCTTTTTTTGTGTGTTGGTTTTTGGCTTGTTTTGTGTAAATAAGCTTTAGGAGAATAAGCTTTGGTTGAAGTGACTGCAAAGTAGAGTAAATTTTGGCTTGAATTGTTCCTTAAAGCTCTGTTTGTAGAGTTGAAAAAAGGGATTTTGTGATTGGAACTTTTCTTACTTAACTTGAATCATATATTTTGTTTTGGTAATCCATAACTATTATCAGCAATGGAAAAATGTTATAAATTTTTGAAAATTTCTATTGTTTCCTTCATTCATTTAGAGAAAGTAATTCCCTCTAAATTCATTTGGAGAAGTAGAATTTATATTCTCTTGGATCAATATTGTAGATGTAACAAACTGCAGAGATTGTAGATCCATTCTCTTTTGGGTCATTGTCTAAGCTGCATCATGTAGAAATAGAGAATTTTAAGTGACTCCCCTTCGTCTCGACACACATCCTTATAATTTTTGGGAATGTTCTTTCTATCCTAATATTCTTATGGAAGCTTCCACACCATTATAAAAAGTTTATAATATTTCTATTGTTCGGAGATACATTTTCAAACACATTTATTTTCGTCATTTCTAAGATTAAATTGAAGATGCGCTCGTTTTAATTCGGAAATGCATCTGCGTATGTAAAAAGTGCGTCCGAAGATGCACTTTTGTAAACACCATATATTCAAAAACATGTGTGTGGTCTGGAGATACATTTCCAGATGCTTTTGTTTCATATCCCGCATCAGACCTTCCCTCTTCCTCCTTCATTTTCTAAAAATTCTCTAAAAAAATTCATTTGAGCTCTGCCTCTCCCAACCATTGAAACATCTCTTCATTGCAATGAAGTATTAGTAGAACTCTTTCTCCTCCTTTTCAGCATCTCATAACATCTAAACTTCTTTTTCTCATCAATCAATTTGATTTGGTAAGTTTTTCAAATTTTATTTTCTTTATATGTTTTGATTTGTAGTTAGTTTTTTTATGATACATTAGCTATTTTAAACACTTTAGAAAATTGGTAGGTTAAAACAACATGCAATGAGGTTTTTTTTTTAGAATTGTTAGGGCAGAAAATGGTTTGTTGTCATGGACGACCATCGAGAGTTTGTCCAGAAATGCATCTTCATATTTCTCTTAACTGTTTTCAGAGATACATCTATGGATTGTACTCAGTTAAAAAATTGGGTGATTTTGTAAATTTTGTGAATTTCCCTGGACACTATTTATATTTGTCTTTGTTTATAACGCAGGTGCAATGGTTAAAGACAACACTGATTGAATTAGGCTCGGGCGTGTGTCCCAAACCGCGTCAGTACGATGTGAGAAGATCGCAACGAGGACCACAAGGTCATGTGTTGCTGATAACTCTTTTGATGTTACATCTACTTCACAACCCCAACTGTCTGGTTCTTGTAGCCAACTCTCTCAAGCATCTCAGGCATATGATGCAACACAACCTGAGGTCCCTGAGACCCCTGTTGACCATGAAGCCCTTGAAGCTTAGAAGGAAATCGATCCAGATGCCCCATTAGAGAGTTATCCAGGAGGACAATTTGACACCTCCTTACTTTATAATTATGCATAGTATGCTGCTAGTCATGTATGACATGGAGATGTATATTACTTTTCTTTTGCAATACATATGTTGTTGACTGATTAAATCTATACTGATGCTTATGTTTTCTTTTTACAAAGTGTGATTGTTTGAAAATGATTAACCACGATAGAAATATATTGTAGTTGCCATAATCCAATGTTGCTTGGTTCGTTGATGTTATCCGATATTCCATTCTAGCCGATTTATGTTCTTCTACGTATGTGACGATAAACCATGACATACAGGCGGATTTTTCCTAGAGGTGGCACTCATAGACATCCTCTTTCCACCTACCTATAGACGAGATGATCATAATTTTGAATGACGTCTTATGCCTCTTGCATCTTTCCATAAGGAGGAGATTACTGGACCACAAGAGGATCGGTCAAGAAGAAGTGGTCGATTTGATGGTTACCCTGTTGAAGGCTGACCTTGGTAAGGCGGAGGAGGAGACAGCTTGCACTAGAGATGTTCACGCACAATTTAGATATTTAGAAAAACCTTTATAAAAACACCTGCAATGGGTCTTGGACGCCAAAGATAATGATATGCAGATTGAATACCACTGACATTGCACATTGAGGTGTCACCTCTTATTCTTGGTTGACACATCTATATTTATGTAAAAAAGCGCAACATATGTTTGAAGGTAGGAAAACGCTTAGAAGGGGGGGGGGGGGGGTTGAATAAGGGTTTTCAAAAACAATTATGACAATAGAAAATAACAAGTTATTTTTATCCTGGTTCATTTAAACTCAAACTACTCCAGTCCACCTGGCCAAGGTGATTTTGCCTCTCTCAAACGAGGACTTAATCCACTAAATCAAAACCTGATTACAGTGATATCACTAAGACAACTGTCTTAGTCTTCTCAAGAATCCTGACCACAACTTGGTCTCTCAAGGAACTTTTACAAAGATAAAATACAATGTGTTTAAGTGCTTCTAAAAAGCTATTATCACAACTGTGATTTTTACACAAATGAAGAACAAATAAAACTTATGTTTGTTGATGTAGAAAGTTATTTGAATATGTTCTTTGAATGTTTGTGGAATTCTTCTTTTGAATATTCTTTGGAATTGTTTCTTGTAAAATGTTGACCTTGAAGTGCTGATGGAGATCTCTTTATATACTCCACTTTCTCAAATAGTGTGTAGATGAAAGTACTGTAGGATGTAGACAGAAAGGACAAATACTTTTCGTCTTGATTTGACATTTCTTTTTTGTCTGAATTCCTGTGTCATACACGAATGAGAAATAGTACCGTTGGTAGTGGTTAGCAACGTAACTTTCTTGAACAATGTCATTTCAAATGAACATATATGAGAAATAATCTTGCATCAGATCCTCTGATGATGTTTCTTGTTCTTCTTTATCAGAGTTACTCTATCCAGAGTTTTGCAGCAAAGTGCTTAGCGTGAATGTTTGATCAAAGTTGACTTGATTCTCAGAGCCTCTGTACTTGCAGCGTTTAGTTCTCTCAAAGTCTTCTGAATTCTGAATCTTTATACTCTGCGCTCAGAGTCTTCTGTAGGTAGCGCTTCAGAGTCTTCTGTGCTGCGCTTCAGAGTCTTCTGCAGCTGCACTTCTACGCTCAGAGCTTTGCGTTTTAATGTTCAGAGGAATTCTTTTTTGTCTTCAGATGAATATTTATTTGATATCTGAAACAAAAAACACTTGAACAAAATTAGAGTATATATTTTCTCTATACAAAATTTCATTAATGTTTTTCATCAAAACATTGAGATATATTAAGAACCAATCTGTGTTCTAACAATCTCCCCCTTTTTGATGATGACAAAAAACTATACGAAATTTTGTTCAAAACAAGAAAAAAAAACTCTCCCTGAGATTATGAATCTCCCCCTGAAATGAATACTGCTAAAAAAAATACTTCCCTTTCAGCACTTGTATTCTTTCCAGAATCAGAGTTAGCTTTGTAGACTTTCTCAGACCTTGTTCACCTTGTTTAGAGTTAATTCTAAGGATATTATCAGATGACAAGTTTTTAGCTCTGAAACACTTAATTCAACATTAGTTATATTTTATCATGTATGAGTTACCATTTTGTATCTGTTTAAATGAATAATCAAAATTTCCATTTTCTCCCCCTTTTTGTCATATCAAAAAGTGATTTCAGAAAAAAAAATCATTTAAGACAAAAATTATCAGAGCAAGAAAACAATTATAATAGATAAGCAAAAGAAAAACAATCAGATGAATTCAGTTAAAGAACTCATAAGAGAACAAAAACAAGCAAAAACATAGATGTGCACAGACAAAAAATAACTAAGTAGAACGAGAGGCTAGAATCTTCAGAAGCTCAGTTATCTCAGAAGTTTGTGCTTCCTGCTTTGCCATCCAAGTCTTTATCTCAGACGTAGATTCATCTTGCTTAGCCATCCAGTCCTTGATTTCTTCTGTTGTCTTCTCTTGCTTAACCATCCAGGTTTTTATTTCACTTGTTGCAACCTCTTGCTGAGCAAGCTTTTCTTTCACGTCTTCAGAAACTTTTACTTCTTCAGAGTCTTTCTTCAAAACTGTTGATTTTGGAATGACCACTGAAACAGATGCTGTCTCTAAATCCATATCAGAAGGCTTGTCAGATGCAGGAGTCTCTTCAGAGATAGCAGCCTCTGTGATAGTTTCTTCAGGCTGAGGAATTACACTAATCTGAAGTGCAACAGTTTCTTCAGATGCTGAACACACATCCTTTGCAGGTGTGTTTTCTAGAGACTGAGTAGGAGTCCTGCTTACACCCAGAAGAGCAAATTTGACAGCTTCAGAAAAATTCTCTTGAGCATCTGCAGAGCAAGCAACTTGAAGGTTCTCAGTCATAGAATTGAACCTTCTTCTGAAAGTAGTCCAAAATACTTCTGAATCATGAGGATTCACTCTATTCAGGCACCTTTCTCTAGCAACAGACAACTGCATCTGCATTTCTGTCTCGAAACCATATAGCAGAGTCCCAACATCTGATCTAGGTATGGATTTAAGGAGAGCCTCTAAGAAGGATTCCTTAGGGTCAACAGAAGGTGTAGGTTTATCAGAAGATGAGGGTTGTTCTGAGGAAAGAGAAGGAAGGGGAGTAAGAATGGTAATGGAAATAGGAGGGGGGAATTGGAGTAGGAGTGGGAATGGGAGTAGGAATAGCATCAGGATGGTTTGGGGAGTTATGTGTTAGTGAGGTAACATCTGAAAGGTCAGAGTCAGATGAATCAGAGGAATCTGACGAGTCAGATGATCCAGATGATATAGGGTGTACGATCATGAGAGGTTGGATATCAAGGATTTCATGATTAGGGTCAGAGGGGTTAGGATCAAAATGGTTTGGTTCAGAGGGGTTTGGTTCAGATGTTGGTGGTTC